AGTCATCCTCCCAAGACTTTGCGATACGCATGTTAGAGCACACGGACACCCCACTGCGATAGGAGGCACGCAAGCTGGTGGATACACTGGAGCCTGACATCCTGGTTAAGCTCACATCATCTCTTAACAAGGGGCAATTAAAGCCTGCAGGGGACCGCTGGCAAACAGCCCACCTTGCTATTCACCACTTTCCAGAGCACAAATAGGCAGTCCCACTTTCCTCCCAGGGTCCTCAAGAGCTTTTCTTCAGCATCAGGTTCCCTTGTGGTTGTGGCTCTGCAGAAAAAGTTCCACCAGCAAGGACCCGCGGAGACACCACCCCAGGAAAGAGATTAGATCTGCTCAATCGAGAAACACGCTCGTGTCAGAGCACAGCTGGGAACTGACAGCTGTAACACACTCCTAGCAAAACATCTCTATCTGCACCCCACAAGCTACCAGCTCACCAAAAGCACGAAGATGAATGACAACAGCCAACTCAGCCCAAGGAACAGCGTTTTTCTACCCTAGACCTCAAAGATGATGAAAAATTGCCACTTGTCTCGGCTTAAAATTTGGAGTTATACGGCCTGGCCGTAGCCCCTTGTAATCAGGCCAGAAAAACTCATCTTACACAAGAAAGACTCTAAATGATAACAAAAGGGATGGGAAGGACAGCTCACGGTCAGTCCATGATGCTACAGCTCAAATAGCTGACTAAATCCTGCCCGTGCTCCAGCAACCTGGACACGTATCCTGTCCTCAAAAGGTAATTAGGCATGTTGATATCTTTAAGGATTTGGACCTGAGCTTCTCAGTTCCCCATCTGTGATAATATGCTGCCCAATACTGTTGAATGGGACTGCTAGGAAAAAATACAGTGGATCAGGGAGGTGCTCAGGTGCCAATGGCAACAAACAGGTGGTAAGAACTGGACAAGTTAAACCAATGCCACTGCCAGCCTCCACCTTGTCCTATAGCTGGTGCTCCCATCCCTATACCCAAGACCACGGCATCTGGTCAGAACCAGGGAACAGGAGGAAAGGCCAATGCTGGAAGCGACAGCCAATCCTGCTCCAATGGTGGATGCACTGGTAGCATCCCAACCGTGAATCATGTCCATGGCCAAGGGGGAGCCGAGATGTCTCTGCTGTCAGGCAGCCTTCTGGCACTGGCCAAGGCGCATTCATCATGGGAGCCCCGCGCCTGGCAGCTGCAGCCTGCTAGAGATTGGTTCAGCGCAGGAACCGGTGTACAGAAGAGCCTCTTCCACACCTCGCACCCTTGAAGGAGGAGGGACGTCGGGATCTCTAGGGAACAGATGTGGCTCCAAGTGGCACAGCTGACCAGAAGCACCTCAGCTCAACTCCACGAAGGACATGTTGCACACACAAAACCCAGCAGGGCAACGCATTTCAAAGGGCCAGGTACAGCGAGATGGGTGGGGAACCTGGCTGAGGGCTGAACAGAAACACACTCAAAAACCAGAAGCACAGTGCAAAGGCCTAATGTTAATGTGTACCGCTGCATTATTCCAATAACAGAGGGAACAGCATGGCCCCGGGAGACAGAATTAGGTGGTGTTGGCTCCCTGGTCCCCCACAACAGGTAAAGTTACTTACAGCTCTTCCTCTGCTCCAGGGACGAAGTTGTTGCAAACAATATGGGCAAGCTTCACCAACGCTCACAGTTTGCTACATCTTTGGTTTCCTTCATCTTTTTTTTTTTTTTTTTTTTAAGTCTCATTTCCATAGCAAGGGCTCTCCGAGCATAGACATTTTTGACAAGTCAGTGAATTCTCTAAGTACTAGGTACACCCATGGCAGCGTAAAATAATAAATACTCACCATAGAAAAATAGTCCAGATCTTGATTGCAAAAAGAGTGAAAGGAGCAGTACTTCTGCAACTAAAAATATTTACCTTAAGAGGTTTGTCAAAGGTCACCCGAGAACTGCTCTTCAATGACCTAGGCCAAAAGTAGTTGGATAAATTACCATTTTGCTAAGGCAGGATGTTCAGGCCTAGCTGTTTATTTAAAATCCCTGAAGTCCAAGTTATGACCCAGTTTTCCTCCTGCTCTGTGAACAAAAAGAAAGTATCAACTTTTGCAGCTGTTACTACACTTTCAATTGGAAGAGATTCATTTAACTCTCAGAATATGAAGGAAATAACCGATAAAGGAGAAAAATTGAGTTCAGATTTTTATAAAGCCTTTGTCAAATTACTTTCACAAGAAGCTGTTAAAGAAACATAGACGTAGGATGAAAGTTAGAAATTGCTGAAAACGGAGATGGAATAAATAGCCAGCTTTCACCTGGCAAAAGACTCATAGCAAGGAAGGATCTGAGAATCTGGATGAGAGAAGTGCCGTTGTGCGTCTTCATTAACAAGCAGGTAAAAGGAACAAACAGTGGGGTGCAGAGGTTGGACAGGACATGAAATAGCTGAAAACTAGAGATTGATTTTAAAAAGCTTGGGAAGAAGTCAATACATAGATGATGGGGTAGCAGGAAGGCAGAACTTGAAGCTTCTTTACGCAAAGAAATACATGCTACATCAAGTCGCTTGTACACCTGGCTAGAAGTTACTCATACAGAGGGAGCTGGGAACCGGCACGGCCAGGACGGAAAGGCAGGAAGACCATCATAAAGCTTACCAGAGAAAGAATGGAAAATAACACTGAACACGTTGAGTTTGCAGTACTATTGTATTGAGTGTTCAGTCCTCATCACCCTGCATACTGAGAACACAAGAACAGCAACAGCAAATCCGAGAGGAGATGGAGCAGGAAAAGCCTCCGGTCTTCAGTATCGGCCAGTGGTGGATACCAGAAGAGCAGGCTGAGCACGCAGCACCACAACTGCGGGACCTTCCCACAATTTGCAGCTTAGGGACTTCCTGAGCCAAGGGTAGATGAATTCTTTTTTGATTAATTTGCTCAGTCACGTTATACATTTTTTTGGTAATAATTCCTACCAGTCAACTTGGCTTTTTGACACTTATTGAGCCTGGAACCAGAGTTTTTATAAGGTGTATTAACAAGCTCTTGTTCCAAGGTGTTATCCTCTGAACTGACCCTCTTTTCATCATCTCAGAGGAAACTGCAACAGCAGAAAGCTCTAGAGAGAGGGAAACAACACAACGGACCTGGGATATTCGCTGTTATAGTTACTGAGCCAAGATAAATAAATAACAAAATAAATAAGAAAAGGACTGGATGTCTTCTGCCTGGGAGAAAAACATATTTGAACCTCCCAGAAAACACTAGGATATAAAACAAGTTGGACTCGGGTGATAAGTCCCTGGTCAATAATGCAAGGCTTTGGCACCCACCCTTTGAGAATCTCCACCCCATTACCTGCAAGCTCCTGGACTCAACTGACTCCTGGTTTCACCTGACTTACTGATGCTCACTCAGATGACTGCACAGTACTCACCTGTTAAAGCTACAGGTGTGACCCAACAGGTTGCAAATCAAAGACAGTTTTGTCCAGGAATACGTTGTTGCTAAAAGATCCAATGCACTCCACGCAGCTATTGCAAGGAGACAAACTGACATTCAAAATGCTAATAAAATTAGAAAAGTGCAGCAATATTTCTAAAACAGTAATTGAAAGGCTGTGGTATAAACTAGAAGTCCTGCTATATGGGAGATTCTCCATTAATGTTTATGAAATCAATATTTAGAAACCCTAAGCTTCTTTAACTACAATGCATAATTGATTTGTATTCTTTTTATTTAGATTGAATTAGCTGATCCAGATGGTGTTTTAGAGGAGGCCCAAGCAATGTTTGAGGACAGCCAAAAATAATATTAACTGGATCCTGAAGGGGAAAAAAGAAAGGATGCAACATAAGAACAAAATCCCGAGTTGCTCATTTGCGTCTCAAATCCACTCTGTGGCATATCGGATCGCGGTCAGCCTCACTCTCTCCCCTCGACTGCCCACGTATGCTTCACTCTGCAGGTGGCTTTGCTCAGAGATCTCCTACCAATCCCAATTATTTGAAAAACCAGCAAAATGCTGGAAGACAAGCACAGTGACGTGTTGCTCAGCTCCTCTATGGTTTCCTCCTCCTAGGAGGAAATAGCGCTCCTGTTGGTTTCAAGGTCTTTCGCATTGACTGTAGTTCTCTAGGGCTCTGCTTTTATAGCATATAATAGAAACCCTGCTGCTTTTTTCTAAGGCAAATAAGCCCTCTTCCCCTGCAAAAGTAACCTAGCCCAATACATACCTGGGAACTGAGAAGCCTTTCGAAGTCGTAACAGATCACTCTTCCATTAACGCTGTCGTGAAGGTAACACTCCTTGTTCTCTGTGCACGTTCTGTAAGGCCAGGCTAATTCTCATTCCTAACCACGCTGGAAAGCGGATCAGCGGATCTAAGCCCAGCTCTCTTCCTGCACTAACCCACGAGCTGCATCCTGGCCGGTCACCAGCCCTGTGCCAGCTGCTGCACTCCTGCACCGCCACGCGCCAACCGCGCAGCGCTGCCGAGCGCCCCCCACGCGCACGGGCAAAGGGGCAGGGCAGCTGGCTGGCCAAAAACAAATTGCGATGAGTTCACCTGATTTAAACTGCATTTCTGAATGTCGTGTGTCCTGTTTACAGTTCACTTGGCCCCTTGACTCCTCATGTTTTCACAGCTGAAAGATAACCTACTTTTCTATTTAAACACTCGGAGAGAAGCATAACAATACAACATTCTTGGTTCCAAGATTTCAGCAGTGCTGACAGAAGGAAAAGCATGCCAGCTACTTTATAGTCGTTATATCTGTCTGCCGGTGTGAACAGGAAATTTCATCTTTATACTCATGAAATGAGTAGCTGAATACTTTTAAGAGATTCTCAGGAATCCACAATTACGATTACTGCAATAAAAGCTGAAGAACGATAAGGGATGTAGAGAAAATTAAGCATATTTTTACGCATCTAGATAACAAATAATCAGCAACAATTGAGTATATTTTTATTTCATTATTTTAAGTATTTTATATCTAAATAAGTGATATACAATAACCAAGTTTAAAATGCTTGAGGTAAACGCTTAATACCATTAGTATAAATAAGGGATTTAAAAGAGGGGAAAAACAAAAGAACCACCACTCCAAACGCACTCCTAATGTTTACCGCCACGCTTTCTGGTCCTGGTTACTGGCTCTATCTTAGTTATGAGACTGTGCCCAAAGTGTAACTTCCATGACCATTTCCACAGCTGGAAAATATTCTCAACACTAGAGCTTAAGTGCAGAAAATAGACAGAAAAGCAGCTGTATTAACAGCCCCATTAGCTCGGAACCTACCAGCTTTAAAAAGTTAAAAATAAGGTCGCCCCACTAGCTTGTAATCCCCTATTTTCCAAACCAAAAATCCCCAGTTCTCGTCACTTTGTAAAAGATCCACAAAATAATATCAGCTACCTATCCAGGACGGCAAGTAATTTTACAAAATAAGCTAGGAAAATATATTTTCTGGACTTCTAGTCATAATAAATTTACAACGCAGGTATATAATTTACAGACAGAAGGGTAATTTTTAAGCTTGATAGCACCTTTTCAACCATTTGTTCTAGTGTGAACATTGAGTCAGATTTGCTTCCTCTACTGACCTTTAAGAATCCCCCTTCCCAACACGGGCCTCGTTTCAGTGAGGGATGCACAAGTAAACGTTGTGCCTACTGCGAGGATTGCGTGTTTCGAAATGCTGCTTTATCCATGCCTTTACTAATGCAATCCCTTCAGCGTTCCCCCAATGAACACCGGTGGGATGGTGGCCCCAGTTCTCATCATCAGAATTTATATCACTATTTTTATACTTGGAGCATAATGTAATGGGAGATCTAGAGAAAATCCAGTTTGTCCTCTGTGTACGACAGGGACTTGTGAAAATGGCAGGTGGAAAGTGGTCTTCTGCTTGTGAACAGAAAACACTCCTGCAAGAAAAGCAGCCAAGCAACTTTATTGCAGGTACTTTTCAGAGTAGAAAGTGCACTGCGGGCAGTCTTGTCAGCACTTTCTGCTGCTGTAGCGCTCACATGAGAAACCAGCCCCATTCGGAAGCAACAGGGTGCTTCCGTAGGACGCTCTACACTCTGCCGTCTTTCCTCTGTAAGCCCATCCTACAGTTTGTAAACGCACTGCCATAATCCGAGATGGAGGCTGGGTGTAAGAGACCGCGTCCTGCCCAGGCTCAGTCAGGTATAGCTCCACTGCTCTGTCACGTTCACCCCTGTCTAGTCTCCAAATCCCAAGGTTACGCTCCACAGCGAGTTATGACCGGGGGTCAAGTTTTGTTCCATTAGATTCGAACCTCTCTCAGGCTTGTGTGTTCAAAAAGGGCTTGTATGCATTAAAGCCAACAGCTTCTCCATAGAAGAAAAACTGCATTCCAAAAAATTTCACTTCTAGAGAAAGCTGGAATTACACAACTTCTGAAGCAGCCCAGGGCAAACGCTGCAATCTGTCTTGGACAAACCTCATATCTAATAGACCAAATGGAAGTTTTTGTTTCGGGAAGAAATCACAAGTTGACACAGTAGCCTCACTCTAGCAAAGATGCATATATCCAAAAGTAAGAAGCAGTAATATTTACAAATAACCTACTCTTATAAATAAATCTACATAGAGAGAAGTAGTCTCCAGATCCTTTGGAAGTAAAAACATGTAAGAAGTTATTAAATACAACACTTCAGCAAGCAGAAGACTTTCCAAACAAGGAAGACCAAGGCATACCTAATTACTTGGGAATCCAACACAGAGAAAGTGCCTTTTGCTGCTTGTATCTGAGGATTTATTTAAAAAAATATTTATTTATATAAAAGTATAAAATAGTTACCACTTTGGCTTGGAAAAAACAGTAGTGGTTCTGATTTTCAAGCAAAAAAAAAAAAATTCATCCAGTGATAATTTCCATCTAGTTTCTTCTTTTTAAAACAAGAGTCCTAAATGGAAAACGGGCAATTCTTATCTTTAGATAATGCCAGCTCAGGAGAACTTTGAAACACTTACTGCTTTTATTTTCTTCCACAGAAAAGTATCGTAAAGTCTCAGTCCAACTCATGTGGCCATACCACATCACAGTAAGACTAGTCATGGGCGTTTAGTGGGCTATAAAATGTGTAACCGCCATGGTAAAGGCACTGAAAAAAAAAAAATCAGTGAAGGAATAATTACTTGGCAGCCAAACATACTGGGGAAAGTGGTGGGAAAGCTTTCACTTTTACCATCTGTCAGGCTTTCTAGAGAGCACAGCACTAGCACTGAAACCAAGCGCTAATTGCTGCGTATCCCAAGTAATTTGTATCATGCCATGCAACGTGTATCGGACAAGCAGTATCTTCTAGTAAATGCCAACATCAAATAAAGAAAGGAAGAGTGCTTCTCTATCCATCCCTAACAAATACCAAAAATTACAGTGTTATTCTCCATGTATTTATGTAGCCGCCATTCAACATTAACAAGAAGCAATCTAGGCAGTACTCACTGGAGGAGGAAGGCACGTGCAGTGCAAGCATACCCCACCGTCCATTCCTCCAGATGTCAGCTCTCCATAATGTTATGACAACAACACTTTTTTCCCCCATAAAGAGTTAGAACAACATTTATAAATCTCTCTTTAAAAATGAATCCACAGTTCAGCCAGTTCATGCATGGGGGAGTCAACATCGCAAGACAGAAGCAGAACAGTGTGTTTATTTTCTTTAAGTACAGGTTTATGCAAAATGGCTAACAGCTGGGGAGATGGTATCACCTCTGTGATCCAGCTGATCCTGGAGCCGTGCAAATTCAGCAAGTTCATTCAGTTCTTGAAATTGCCTGTCTGTTTTATGGCTCACCAGTGACCTGTAGAAGTGCACTGCAAACACAATGAAAATCAGTCCAAAAGGAACCATAATAGATGTTGACGCAATGGCCGCTGCCTCTCCTGATGTGATGGTAGAACTGCTGTTCTGGGACGAATCCAGAGGGTTCTTCTTTAAGGGGAGAAACTTCACCCAACACAGTAACACCACCTCTGCAAGAAAGAGCAAAGTCCCAATAACAGTAGAAAATGCCCAGGCAAGCTCAATGTGCCGATGCATACGCTCATGGGGAGATTCCTTTACCGAGTTGAGATTATGCACATTGCTAACAGCCTCTATATTTGGAAGAATGCAAGTACTTATCATGAGCGCAAAAAGATGAACTGCAACAAGGACAGTAGTACAGGCACTGAAAGCTATCAGGAGACCTCGAGGGTAGTCATGGTCTGTGTCTAGCTGAACTTCTACCATAGCCACCTGAAAAAAAAGAAAAGAGACAAAATCTATAGACAAATAACATTATAACATAGATGCTACAAGTTTAAATCTGCTCATTGCAACCATTTTTATTCCAGGATAATTAAACATCACATTCCAGTTATTTCTATTTATGTCTGGACAATAAAAACACATATTTGGAGCTCAAATATTTCAGGAATATCTTCTGATCCAATGCAATAATCATCTGGATTTAAATTTCTCTTCATGTTATTCTGCAACCTTTTTATCTGACCAAAATTTACATATGAGGTATCAAAGCACACTTTTAAATTTAGTCCCTTTTATACTTAGTGCTCAGCTGTAAAGCAAACCATCAATATACAAAGAAGCTACTAACAGCACAACCACCTTACCACCTCCAGCTCATCCCAACAAAACAGCTGGACCTTATGATCAACACACTTGGATTCTTAAGTGAAAGATTTCTTTTCTGTGGTATAGTGTATTGGCAGCTTTTCATCTTTTACTATGGATTTTATGGTTTGTACAGGGTATTAGGAAATTGTTTGTACTCCAAGTATGTAGAATGAATACTCTACAAACTCTTCTGAAGTTTGCATCTGTAACGTGAAAGCCTGTGAGGGCAGTGGACTGCCCTTCACAATCTTGGTGGTCCCTTTTTTGTTATATATCTGTGTCTTAAGTTCTGAAGAGTAGAAACCTTTCATCACCTTTCCATGGGGCTCTCAGTTTTATTCCATTACTCAAAGTAAGCATTTAAGCAGACTCTAGAACACTGACTCAAAACATGAACACCTCCACTATGTCCAGGGTGGCCAAATAGATCTGTTAGAGGGAAGAAGTGTAGAGAAGGCTGGAGGAAGGAAAAACAAGTCTCCCAGAAAAGAAAAGACACAAAGTGCTTCCAGACATTGCTAGATGCTTTTTAAATTACAAGGGAAAGAAAGAAGAAATTACTCAGTTCAGCCTGCTAAGATCCCAGATCCAGGCAGCACAGCAGTTTCTACCATCTGAACTAAGAATTAATTGCTGTTCATAGCAGAAATCCTCCTGTTCATGTGACAAAGGCAGTAACAGAGAACCCTGGAGAGCACAAAACTCTGAAAGTGGCATCTAGCCATGTTTACGGACAAGCAGTGCTACCTCCGGAAGACGCTCCAAGGTCCAATCCTCCACTAACACATGCCACCGTGCCCTTTAATAAACTCACATCGCCAAGCATGCCTGTGCTTAAGGAGCAGAAACTAGCATTAAACAAAACAGCACGAGGAAATTCATAAACCAGACTCAGATATCATTGATAAAAGAAATGTCTCTAACAAAAGCTTTTCAAGTTGCCAGGTGATTTTAAGCATGCACAGCTGACTAGAAACATTAATCCTAGAAGCGCTCTACAAAAAAAAAAAAAAAAAAAGCTTTTCTGATAAATTTGCCTTTGAGACAAAGCATGGTCCCAAACAAAGATGGAATGATGCAACAATGTTTCCCTTTCTCAAAGGATCTCATTAAATAGCCAAAATACATTTAAAATGTAGAGAAAAATTAACAGTAAACTTAAATACATGTACATCATATGAGGAAGATATGGAGGCTGGCATTCAGCACAGATCAGACTGATCCAAGCCAGTCCTTCCAGCACACCGGCCACCCACTCTTGATCCTCCGTGGAAACAATTCCACTTGCTAGCCCAGTGAAAGCTAACCTGGTTAAAAGATAGCTGTCTTCCGCTAGCCTGGGCCAACTGGTTCAGCAATGCCCCGATGACTGATGAAGCTGGAACAGGCTCGTGTAACTGAAGAGGAGGCAGGCAGACTTTGGGTAGCGCTAAGCTACTAACTTAGCTCTTCTGTAACATATCATTTTGCCCTCAAAAAGACCACGAAACCAGTTACTGCAACACAGCGCATGAAACAATTAGCTCTTTCATTCCCATTGATACAGTTTTAGTCCATTACTGTATGCCATTACTGGTTTAGACAGCATTCAGCCTAGCATACATTTCAAACACCTCAACATAAAGAATATAAAGAAAAATTTCATATAAAGAAAACTTTCATAGAGCGTGGGGTAATATGGATGCAAAAAGACATAGCAACTAAGATCCAAAAGCAGCTGCAAAAACAGAAAAAAAATATTCCAGTCTTACTCCTTTGCTAGAGGGGAGCCAAGCTACACCTAATCTGGGATCCTGTCTCCCTACGTTTATACGCTCAAGATGTTCTAGGACAGCAGAACCCGTTAACAGCTAACACACCAAACGTATTAACCCAACCTTGGCTTTCACTCAGGCAAGTTTCAACAGGCGTTCAAGGCCACCTGTCAATATTTTCATTCTTTTATTGAAAGTCTTTACCCTCATAAGCATAACCTACTATCCAACTGGTAAACAGTTTCCAAGCATTACAAGAAACTCTGCAAGAAATTCTAATATATATATATAACTCTTGCTTAAAAAAGATTAAAAAAAAAAATCTCCTTAGGCTCAGCATTTCACAGGATGAAGGTGAAAGGTCTCCACTCTGAACATTCAAGGTGTACTTAAAAGAAATGTTGGTTTCTCAACTGTGGAAAACTCCACGTTTGGGAGGATACTCACTTGGTCATCACATCCGTTTTCTGCAGGCACTTCCCTTTAAGCCCCAAGGACCTCATGGGGTGCTGGGCATACCGTTGGCTGCGTTTTTCATACAATACTTGCAATCTTTCACCACTGAAGATTCATCTTCATACTTACTGAAATTTCTTCTTCTCAATGTTTCTGGTGCTCGCATTGATTTTGAAAGCTAGGCTATCAGTTCCATTTTAGACTCGAGAACATCCCACTATTTCAAGACATTTTAATCCTTCACTCTAGTACTTATTACAGTAACATAGCCAAATACCACACTACAGAGCTTCAGAAGAGGAATACTTTATTTCTTTTATTTTCTTTTAAAAATTTGATGATTAAATATTTCATTCCCCAAGTATAAAAGAAATTTTACATTTTCACTGCTCAAAGTCTCTATGTAATACTGATATCAAACATCTGATTTTGGAGTTCAGTTAGAATTTCATAATTCCAACATACCAGCTGTCCTGGAGCTGCTGTTCTCCTCCCATCTCAAGAGAGAGCCAAGCAGAAGAAATCTTTCTTCCTCTTCTCACCCCAGCTCAGAAATGCTAAGCACACCTGTTTCTGATTCGGCTCTAACTGTACGCACCATCAAAACAAAATCGTGCAGGAAACCAGATTAATTTAAGCAGCATTCAGACACTCAGAGAGCTCTGTGCCTGCACTAGCACAGACAAAATCATAGAAAAAACAAGCAAACTTAAGAAGAGGAGAGGTCCAGGCCAGGAATCCCAGTCTTCCTGGATTAAAAGGCTTCATTTTTAGCATTGCTGGGCCTTACCCTGAATAAGAAACCCCAGCAATACCTACAACCTTCACACATTGATGGAATAGGTTAAATCCAAGTTCCCGCTATGCAAGCAAGGCTTTGCTTTACATGCCTGACAAATACATAGCTGCTTTGCAGAGAAAGTTTGCTGTTTTGGTAGGCCTAAAATCATCTCATAAAATAAGAGCTTTCCAAAGCTCAGCAAGACTGTAGCTGTTACTTAACACTTGTCACAACTAACCTCAAGAGCAGGAAGGGTGTTAACTTCCGTCAGCTCAAGCTATACCATGCCACTCTAATATCAAGCGTGCTTTCTCTAGAAGTATGGGTAGCATCTACATCACTCAGAAGTTAGCCTAAGTACTAGCCTTCTAGCACGTGCAAAATAAACTGGCAGCCAAGTAGTCATCATCATATATGATGCCAATTTTTCTCAGTTTGGACTGAGGTTAACAAGTCAAGGGGTGAATAAAGCAGAGGACGGGCACCCAGCTGCCCCAACCCTGAAAACCTCGTGTACAAACCTCCACGAGGCCGAGCGCTGCAGGGGAGGAGAAGCTCCCAAGGCAGGTTCCTAGAAGAGACTGGGGCATCCCACAGAGGGGGCACCCCTGGGCCAACTTCAGCATCTTCCCTGGCCTCAATCCCTCCCATCACAGTTTCTGCGCCAGCACAGCCCTGGTCCAAGCATCAAGGGACACCAGTGTTAGGGACGACACTTGAAGTTGCTAAAGTCAGAAGTTGGCTATCCTGCCAATAAGTAACATGAGCTCCTCTCCACGGCTGGAACCAGAAGGGAAAAATACTAGCAGTATCAAGTGCTGGGCCAGGACAGATCCCACACCAAGGGGAATAACAGAACTACTAAAAGGCAGACAATATCTGCTTGCTTTGAGAGAAAACAGTGCAACTTGGGAAACCACAGCATCTGGAAAAATATTTCTATTGACTCTGAAAGAATCACAGCTCCATAGACTCCAACTCATGAGGGTAAAAGATCCCCACTTTGAACATCCAAGATACACTTACAAGGAAGACACACTAAGTGAAGCTCCACCAATGCACTGACAATTTTTTGCAGATGGCAAGTTCCCAGAAAGGGAGTTGGATGTTTTTCCTAAACCCTCCTCGGTGAGGAAACGTGACAGAAGCTACAGGGTATATGCATAAAAAAGGAGAGAGACAGGAGAGTTTTTGTGGGTTCACAGATAGGAAAGGAAAAAATTACACTGAAGCTAATTAGCTGGAGAAAGACACCCTTAAGCAAAAAGAAAACATACTGAGTAAAGTTGCAGTTATAAGTAAAGTGGTAACACTCAGCGTTAGCAACACCCTGAAAAGCTGACTGGGGAAAGCAGGAAAGCACTTCTCTTTCCCATTCATTGAGGATTAATGGATACTTCAGAACTTGTTTCAGATGGAGACTTTGGGGAGGCTGCGGACGCAGAACGCCTGAGGGTTTCAAAGTCTACCGAAGTCAATGGAAAGTCTCTGCCAGGCACGAGCACAAGCTGGCTTTGCTGTGCCCCTGAGTACCTTCTGCTTGACCCATAAGTGAAAAACTAGTTCATGTTTTCTGTCCCCTCAGACTATCAAGGAAGGTAATTTGGGAACCCCTTCACCATAAGCCAGCGGACAGACTGCCAACTCTTTTCAGCCTCTGTTCCTCATTGCCTGGGCCAGTCTTGAACCAGGCACCTAAAACAAAAAGCTCCATTTTCCACTATCAGGCCCCATGTCTCTTGTCAAACAGCGACAAGAAGTTCCTTGTCTCTTATGCTCACATCGTGATTTCAAAACGCACAGATCACTACTGCCCTTGTGAAGCAACACTTGCAATATCAAGGCCCAAGTGAGCATATCTAATGTGATCCAAGTCAGCGTAAAGCATGACCTTCTACGTACGTGCTGATGTTCCACACAGGAAGCCTTATTAACTTTCAACATTGTTTTAGAAAAGGCCTTTCTGGGCAGGAACTGTCGTGAAGTCAGCACAGCAGCTAATACAATGCACTTCAGCACCATTTTCTTCGCCTTTTTAGAAGTTTCTGCAAACATTTGCCTCCGGGTTTCTACTGTGCAGCCACCAAGGTTGCTGCAAGCATCCTGCCTTGCTACATAATCACAAAACAACCCAGGCTGGAAGAGATCTCAAGATGTCATCCAGTCTAATCCCTGGCTCAAACAAGAGCTAACTTTAACATCAGATCATCCCACAGATATGACTGACAGACTCACTACAGCCCTTGACAAAGCTGTAAATCTGAAATACAGCTTCTTGATGAAGTTAAAGGACTCTTACACTGTTAAGAAGCAGGACTGGAGTTCTCGAGAGTCGAAAGGAGGTAGGCGTTCAGATGCTTTTAGAATACAAGTGAATTTGTGCACATAATCGCAACCCTGGCTTTTGGCAATCCTGGATTTCACAGAAAGCATCATGACAGCCTGATTGCTACCACATTGCAGGAAACTGAACAACTTGCACTCTAGAAGAAGCTGCATTTCAATGTTAGTTATAGATTAATAGCTTAAAATAAGTTCATTTCACTTGCTTGTGTATGATGCTTCCATATCTTTCTTGTTAGACTAAAAGGGTCTAAATGAAGTTCCTACTATTAAAAAAAAAAAAAAAAGTCCTGAGTGCTATGAAGGTTTCTATCCTCACAAGAGCATTTACACAGCACATATGACAAACATCAGCTCCCCAGCTTTGCAAGGGAGCTTTGATACACTAATAAAAGTTTCCACCAGCAGCAATACAATTTTCCATAAAGAACAATGATCAGTCACACTCATAGCTGCGAATGAAGCTTGAAAAGTTCATATGGCTTCTGAAATGCAGGAAAAGCAACTGTCCTGGCTTGCCTTCTGTTCACTTTTACCACAGCAGCAGCACATGAATTAGTGACCTGCTTCAATTTTCAGCATTATTCCCCAGCTTTATAAGCCACAAGACAATAGACTGGTTTCACCTAACTTTTAATTTCAACCAAATGTAAATTTGAAGTTCAATTTCTGTTTCAGGATTGTGTTCTCTGAAGGAAAAAGTAACTAGGGAAAAGAGCATGTGACTGACAATATTAGAAGGAAAACAGAAGGGAGAACTGTACTAAGAGCTGCCCATGTAGCAGGTCATACTGACACTTAAAAGACTTTTCAACATAGGAAAAAGAGGTAACTGCTCTTTGTTATCATGTGAATTAACAAAAGCAATGAATACAATTTTCAAGAGGGTTTTGACTTTTCATAGGCTTGCATCTTCTTCAAAATCACTAGCTCCTGCTGTACAGAAAAGGAAACAAAACGCCTTATCTCAAGCAAATCTATATCATCTGGGCTATTTATAGATGACTTCCTCTCCTCCCCTTCCCTGCAGAGATGACTCCTAGCTTTGGTAGGAAGGAATATAACACAGGCTGGGAGCGTGTGTCATAACCGTCACGCTGTATGGTCCTTTATCCTCTGTCTCTCATAGTATCAAATACTAGCATTAACACACAGCCGAGACTCAAGATCGAATTCAGCATGCCACGGGACAGAAAAACAGCTTTAAACCTGAGAGAGCCATAGCCAATTCAAACTCTTCGCTGCCGACCACGG